CTTCGCTGGCGCTCAGCGCCCTAAGTAGGGCGGCCAAGCATCGTACGGGTCAAAACTGGCGCCCAGGCGTGGTGTGGGAAGAAAACTGGCGCTCAAGGGCGCTCAGCCCTAGCGGTAGCACTCCAAAACTCACTTTGTTTGCTGTTTCGCTTGTTTTTTTGGCTGATTCAGCTTTATACAACTCTATATATTGTTGGAGATTCTTCCAAGCACATTATTAGCTACAAAATAAAGGGAATTTAGTGATAAAATCAAAAAGTATAACCTCTACAATGGAATGGAATGAAGATAAAACCCTAGAAAGAGAAGAGGAGCGTTGTCACATCCCTAAATCTATCGTCCAAGGGGTGAAAAGCGTGTTTCTATGCTCAAGCCATCAAAAGATACAATCCCTAGGATGTCCAAGTCCTTAAATAGAACATAAAAATAATAGAAAACAGGTCCAAGCCTACTTCGCTGGCGCTCAGCGCCCTAAGTAGGGCGGCCAAGCATCGTACGGGTCAAAACTGGCGCCCAGGCGTGGTGTGGGAAGAAAACTGGCGCTCAAGGGCGCTCAGCCCTAGCGGTAGCACTCCAAAACTCACTTTGTTTGCTGTTTCGCTTGTTTTTTTGGCTGATTCAGCTTTATACAACTCTATATATTGTTGGAGATTCTTCCAAGCACATTATTAGCTACAAAATAAAGGGAATTTAGTGATAAAATCAAAAAGTATAACCTCTACAATGGAATGGAATGAAGATAAAACCCTAGAAAGAGAAGAGGAGCGTTGTCACATCCCTAAATCTATCGTCCAAGGGGTGAAANTACAACTCTATATATTGTTGGAGATTCTTCCAAGCACATTATTAGCTACAAAATAAAGGGAATTTAGTGATAAAATCAAAAAGTATAACCTCTACTCACTTATTCCAAAAACTAAAGCAAAAACATGAGTTCAAGCAAGCTTCTAAGTAAAAAAGGGTACGTTTAGTATCAAAATTATATTATAGATAACGGTATTTTCAACCGTTATCAGACTGCAACATCAAAAGACAAGATTAGAGGAAATTTTTTATAATTGTCGGAATCATTGGCCTAGTTCTGATCGTTGCCTTCCTGGTTGCACTATTTTATCTTCTTAAAAGGCCAACAAAATTGGGGATGTTTGACACTGTTAACTCATTGGCAAGTGTACCAAATTGTATAAAGTAATAATAAATGGTAAGACCAAGTATCGTATCCTAAAAGACTCACAACACTAAACAATCGTGTAATTACTTAACTAATTAAGACTGAAAAGTTATTTTGTTGGTGTTTAAATGCAAATGCAACAAAAGTAAATATGAATGTAAATTGATCAATTGAGGCTTGACACAAGAATGAATGGTGTTGATAATATGAGATGATTATGTTGTTGGGGTTTAGATTTTACCATCCTTACTTTCATGCATATAAGAATTCATCTTCATCATTAAATTGTTAACGTCACTCTCTAAATTACTTAGAACCTGATCCCTCGGCGTAAAAAGCCTATCCTTAATTATTAGACCACAATCCCTTGCATCCCTAATAATCAATTCTGCATTACGAGCAGAAGCTTAAGACAACCAAACATCTTATCCCTATCCCTAGGCAATATTTCTTTTGGGTGAAAATCTCCAGATCATGGTTTCTAGGTATTTCCCAATAACAAAGAAAGTTAAATATCATGCTATGAGTGATCAAAACATAACAAGCATTGAGTAAAGGAGAAAATCATTAACAATTAATGAAAGAAGCATAAAATTAATTCAAAACATATTCAAATACATGAAAGTTTAGAGGTTACATCTTCCCCAACAACAAAATGAGTTTAGTTCTCCATCGTCATGGAGAACCTTAGTGAACAATGGAAGAATGAGATAGAAACCCTAGAAAACAAAGTGGAGAGCTCCTGCATCCAAATCTGCCTCCAAAGGGTCAAAAAGTGTGTTTTTGTGCTTCAGCCTTCCAAAGATGTGAACCCTAGGGCGTGCAAATCCTTAAATAGATAAAAAATAATTCCAAAAACCGAACACGCTAGTGCTCAGCGCCCCTACTTAGGGCAACCGAGCGAGCTTGCGAGAGAAGTGGCATTGAGGGCCCTGAAAGGGGCAACCAGGCGTCTTGCGGTACCTGAAGTCTGGCGCTCAGCACCTCTTAGGGCGCAAGCAGGCGCTGGTGCGTGACTGCTGGCGCTGAGGGCCCCATAAAAGGGCAACTAGGCGTAGTTGCGTGAGAACCTGCGCCCAGCGCCCCAACAAAGGGCAACCAGGCGTTCTGCGACCTTGTGTAGCCTTCTCTTCTGGTGCTTATTCTGTCCTTTCTGGGTTCCAGCTCCTTGATACTTTAACTCCTCTTCCAAATCATTCTAATAACCTACAAAATCAAGAGAATTTGTGATAAAAATCATCAAGTATAACAACTCTCTTATTCACACAATTAAACTCAAAACGAGAGATTAAGCAAGTTTCTAAGTCAAAAGGGGTTAATTTAGTATCAAAATTGAATCACAGATAACGGTAAAATCAACCGTTATCAGACGTGGAGCAGGCTTACTATCAAAACATTTCAATCCCCAAAGCTTGTAAAACTCAACTGTTCAGCCTCCACGAGCTAGAGGAAGCCACTAAAGGTTTTGAAGAGGGTAACAAACTTATGCATGACAATAATGGGACAATTTTCGATGGAGTTTTTAGGGATGGATCTCACATAGCTGTCCACAAATTACAAAGTTAGAAGAAAGACTTAATTCAAGTTCTGTCACAAATCGAGGTTCTGTCATCTACTATGCATAGAAACATGGCCCATATTCTTGGTTGTTGTATTGAATCTGGAAACACTATAGTAGTTTATGAGTTTCGTTCCAATTGTACTCTAGAGGAACATTTACATCAAAGTAAAGGACAACAACTACGTTTAGATTGGTACAATAGATTGACTATCGCTGCAGAAACAACTATCATTCTTGCATTCCTACACTACGAGAACTCTCCTCCCATATTTCACCATAACCTTAAATTTGCATGCATCTTCCTTTATGATGATTATTCTACCAAGATTGTAAGATTTGGTCTGCCCAACTGTAATTATTACTATGGTTCTCACTTACATAAGAACCACGAAGGCTTTGGCATATGCAAAAAAGATGTTTATGACATGGGTGTGTTGTTACTTGAAATTATCTCAGGCTCAAATCACTTGGATTTACCAAGTTCAGCCTTGTAGAATATAAGGGCTAGAAAATTTGAAGAAATTAAAAAAAAGGAAGCTACTCCTAATTATGCCCATTATAGTTGCTCGAGTGGTTGGTTGAAATGAAATATTTGGTATTGTAATATCACTTTTTCCTTTCTTTTTTGAGTGTCATATCTATTGCTCGAGTGTCGTATATATTGTTATATACAATTTCGACAGAAGCTGCAAATCTTGAGAGGTGAACGATATTGATCTGATTTCGCTAGATACCGAAATGGAAAATGGAGGAATGTGACGGTAGATAAATCATAAGAAACTTTGGAAAACCTAAAACGATTTAGGGCAAAAGACCATGAGAAAGTTCAGAATCTTAAAGATTTTCCACTCAACTTTTGCTAAACCTCAATCAACGATACTAATGTGATGAGCATTTCGGGACATAGGGTCAAGATTAATGGAGGACATTCTGAACCTTTCTATGCAAGATATTTTCACTCACGAAAGTATGTGTTAAAAAAAATAAAGAAAAGACTTCAATATTGTATAAGAAGAAAGTTGAGGCATTTAATTTTTTGCCTCGTAAACCTCTAATGGTTACCTGAAAATTCTCAAAACAAAAGACATGTCTTTAAAAATTATTATTAATTTTTTGTTGTTGCAAAACCTAGTACTAATCCGAAGTAGTCTGGTTCCTCGTGGTTTCAGGGGATGCCGCTCGGCCCCACAGTAGGCGCCAAAATGTTTCGGGTAAGATGTTGAGATCCCTTACTCAAAGCACTTCAAGTTGTTTTGAAGAAGGGATGAACTTCTTGATGATCCTCCATTATCCAAATTGCGTTGTTAGCTCCCTCCCCTCCTTGTCCAAGTTGTGTGGGAGGGTACTTGTCAAAGGCACTTCAACCCTCAAGTTAGTGTTTTTGCGTAATAATGTTTAATAAAAATAAGTACTCAGAATTAGTTATCTGACCTTCCTGTCAAACATATATTTATAAATATTAAAATGAGTTTATCCTTAGTCGTGACCCATTACCAATAAATGATTAATATTTTTATTAACTATCAATCAGTTATCTCAACGACTATCTTAACCGATCGGTTAAGAGTTGTTAATTGTTTGTTTGTCCAGTCCATTGGTCAAGTATCCATATAGTACAAATTGTAAAAAATTAAAAGTAAATATTGAAATCATAAAAAATTGTACAAATTAATTAATACATACATTAATTTGATTTATAAAAGAAATTGTGTGTAGAAAGAATCTTGTGGACATAAGCCTACCCCTAACTTAAGATAAAAGGAAAAAGAAAACATTATTTTAGCTGAATAATGATATAGAATAATAATATGGTGAGATATTTTTACATTTATTTGATATATAAAGTGATCATAAAAAATAAATTTTTAATATTTTCTTAAAAAAGAAAAGAGTAAAAAATAAAAAATATAATGTTAAATAAATATAAAAAATTTATGTGTGTTAAAATATTTTTCTTTTTAGCTTATATATACGTTTCGTGCTATTATTATCCGATGCCCTGTTACACAGTTGTTTGTGGATGTATCTCACTCCAATCTTTCGTACAGCTAATTTCTTTCCTTTTTAATAAAGAAGAAGTCACAAGAACTGATAGAAAACGATTACATACACATTTATAATACAAATATTTTATTCCCCACGCAAGAAGTAGGTTTAATATAGACAGAGTTATGCATATATAAATTTGATGATTCCGTTGACTTTTTCTTATAAAAGAGTATTGGGTAATTAAAGAGGTGGATATATTAATTTTTTTCTCACTTCTTAACCAAATAATATTTAATTGAGGACTTATCATCCTTCATCTCGGAGAGCCTGCAATTATCAGCACTTGACCATGGAGGACTTATCAGCACCCAAGAGCAAGATCCTGAAAAGTCCAGCACTTGCGCAGGTAACTAAATTTACCCATTTGATTCATATATGCATATACAAATTAACTTGAAATTAACTTGAAATTGTTTTAAAAACAGTACATCCTTGATACGAGTGCATATCCGAAAGAGCACGAGCAGTTGAAGCAACTCCGAGAGACAACAGTGCAGAAATATGGTTTCAAGAGTTTGATGAATGTGGCTGTGGATGAGGCACAATTCCTTTCTATTCTTCTAAAAATCATCAAGGCCGAGAAAACACTAGAAATTGGAGTTTTCACGGGTTATTCCCTTCTTTCTACTGCTCTGGCTCTTCCTCCTCATGCCAAGGTATAACACCATCTCACTTTCTTTTTTTATTTTTTAAGATTTTCTTTTTTGGTAATGTCACCCCTTAAAACTTTTACCTTTTGTAAGAGTTAAGGTTAGAACAAATACTATATTTAAAAAAATTATACCTCATTATATATATATATATATATATATATATATATATATATATAAGTAATTGTCAAATAATGCATAATCAGTACTATAAAATTATTTTTATAGAAGTTCATAAATTTTAGTTGGGGTAATTCTCTAATAAAAATTTAAGTGTAAGAAAACAATGATTGAGTCTAAGAAAACAATGATATACTCAATTTGTATCAAAACCAAGACTTAAATACCAAAACAAAGAAATCAAGAGAGGATCACTATCACTGGCCTACCCAACACAAGTTATAAGTCCAAACAATACAAAAGAACTTTGAAAGAAATACACTCAACAGTGCATAAGATTCAAAATATGTGTGCTTCTTTTAAGTCATTTCTTGTAATCTTCTTCACCAATCTAGCTTGAAACCTCCAAGAATTCTTCTCGATTTTGTCTCTACTCAAACTCAAAATAAATGTTAGTATACTACAAATGATTTTCGTATTAAGTCAACTTTCAAAACTGATTTATATAGTAGTTTAATCAATTAGATTAAAATATTAACCTATTAAGAAAAAATTTCTATTTTAATTAATTATGTTATTAATATAGTCGATTAAAAATGGAAGTTATGTCTTGTTTTGCTTCTGACTTTCTTTAACAAATTAGATTATTAGTTTTTTTGTTTGATTTATATTTGTTTTAACACATTAGTTATGAATTTATAATTTTTTAATTTTAGAATTTTATAATTTCATAATTTCATAATTTTATGATTGGGTTAAATATGTTTTTAGTCCCTAAACTATCAAACGAATTTGTTTCTAGTTCCTCTTTCAAATTAAGCTACATTTTGATCATTCTCCTTAAGAAAACCATAAATTTTTATCCTCCAAAACTAACAGTGTTAAAAATAAACTGAGGTGGCTAACGGTGGTGTGTTACATCATTTTTTTTCCTGACACTAGTTAATCTTTCTCAGCTCCTCTCCTTCCGACTCTACCACAGCCACCTTTGACGCCACCTCGAACACCTCCGGCGCCACCACCAACCGCGAAACTCCCATGCACAACCACCCTCCACCACGCTTACCTCCATGGCCAACATAAAATCTCCATCTCCACTGCCCAAAAAACCTCCAAATCGCATATCAGTTCATCTCCTCCCACCACTAGAGACACAAATCAGAAAACTAAAACCACCCAAACCTTCATGGCGATCTCTTCCATCATTAACTCAATTCACACAAGAATCACAAACCTGCAAACAGAAATTGGATCGAACCATCATACTCCTCGCGCATCATTAACACAAAAATGAAACCACTGAAATTGTCAATCAACCCTCATCTCTATCGCGAAACCCATGAAACAACAATCGTGAATCGCATTGTCCATCACACACCATTGTGTCTTCTCCTCCTTCGTCAATCGCACCAACCTACATCAAAAATCAGAACCAGAAAACCCAACCACAAACTTCGCATAGCCATGGAAAACCCAGAAACCACCCATCGTAAAGCCTTCCTCGCATAATCCCGAAATCCGTCGACGACGCCTTGGGCCAAGAAGAAGGACCGTCGTGGCAGCTGGCTCAGTTGGGAGAGCGAAGGTCACGTGTCTTTAGTGTCATTGACGACGTCTTCGGCTAGTGGTGGTTGGGGTGCCAAGGCGTTAGGGTTCGCGATCAGGAGAGGTCGGTCCACCATGAAGGGTACGGGTTCTTCCGTTGGAGGCACTGGCGGTGGCTGGCCTAGTCGGTGGCTGGGAGAATGTTTCCCATTGAGTGAGGGTGTTTCTCTCTCGCGCACGCGAAGAAGACGTAAAAGGAGGGCTTTTGCGGTCGTCGACGATGAGTCTGTCGACGAGCGGCGTCGCTGGTGACGCCTTTGGCCGACCAGAGGGGGGTGTTGGCTCAATGGGTGCTAGCTTGGTGGGTGTTAGCTTGGTGGGTGTTGGTTCGGTGGGTGCTGGCTCGGTAGGTGCTGCCATTCTCACGGAGAAAGAAGAGGGGATGACCCGTGTTTTTCCCAAGGAAGAAGAAAGGCAACTAACATCAAGGAGAAGCTGACGTTTGCATTGAAAAAGATCCAACGTGGTAAACGATAGAAAGAAAAGATGTCATCACACGTGGTCAGACGTTGCGACGTCAACTTCTTTTTAACGCCGTTGATTTTAGAGGATGAAAAATTATGGTTTTCTTAAAGAATATGATCAAAATGTAGCTTAGTTTGAAAGAGGAACTAAAACCAAATTCGTTTTACAGTTTAGGACTAAAAAATATTTAACCCTTTATAAATTTATAATTTTTTAATTTTTTAATTTTATACTTTTATACTTTTATACTTTTATAGTTTTATAATTTCATAATTTCATAATTTTATACTTTCATAATTTCATAATTTCATAATTTTATAATTTCCTAATTTTATACTTTTGTACTTTTATACTTTTATAATTTCCTAATTTTATAATTTTATAATTTTATAATTTTATAATTTTATAATTATAATTTTATAATTTTATAATTTTATACTTTTATAATTTCCTAATTTCCTAATTTTAAAATTTTAAAATTTTATAATTTTATAATTTTATAATTTTATAATTTCCTAATTTTAAAATTTTAAAATCTTATGATCTTATCATTTTATAATTTTATAATTTTATAATTTAAAACTTAATTAAACTAAGTAATATTTATATGTCAATGAAAGTTTTGAAATTTATCATGATTCAAAACTTAATCAAATCTAAAAGTAATATTTATATGTTTTTCTTTACCTTTGTGTATTATGATATATGTGGATTTGTGTTTTTCTCTTAAAAAACTCAAATAAAATGTATTTAAAATATAAATTTAAGTAAAAATTAATTTTAGAATATGTTTAAATGAATTTGCTTAATTAAATATGAGTTATATTGAAAATAAGATACAATTTGGTTCTCATTCTTTTCGAAACTTTGGTTTTAGTCCACGAAAACTAACGCCGTTAAAAATGTGCTGACGTGTCTAACGTCTATCCACATGTAATTTGGTCCTAATTGCTGTTTTACTTCCGTTCAGAGACCAATGAAGGGTTTTTCAATGCTTGGAAGACTACTCAGAAAAATTCCTAAAACTTAGCTTGGGGACTATTTTCGTAGTTTTATTTCTTTTACTTTAAAACCCATTAAGAGAAAGGCTGATACTCTACAATGAAATTTAAGGTTTATTTGGAATAAAAGCAACAATAAATTCTACGTTCGGAGCAATTTAGTTCCTTTTACGCAAAGTTATCAACTTTTTCACAAAAATTAAACATTGGCATAAGGGTCCCTGCCTGAAGGATTTTGGCAAACCTTGAGGCATGTTCAAGGAACCTGAGAGCAGCCCAAAAATTTGGATGCAATGTCAACCTTGTGAAAACTGTTACAAACAAGATAGACCCATATTTGATTCTTCAACTTCAAGGACATACAGTAGTATCCCTTGTGTTGCTGCTGAATGTCTGAGTGGGACACATACTTTCTGCAATTTTAACAATGGAAAGCACTGTACATGTAAAGTGACTTATGGTGATGGATCAACTTCAGAAGGAGATTTCAGTTGGGACACCATTACTCTAACTTCCAGTACTAAAAATGTTCCTGTAGCATTTCCCCAAACTGTGATTGGATGTGGACACAACAACTATGGAATCTTTGATGAGCAAAGCTCTGGCATAGTTGGCCTTGGAAACGGACCTTTCTCACTTGCAAGTCAGTTAAAACCTAAAACAGGTGGAACGTTTTCCTATTGTTTGACGCCAATGTATGAAGGAGAACCAAAACCTAGCTATCTCCATTTTGGAGATCGTGGTGAGGTTATTGAAGGTACCGTTTCAACCCCTTTATTCATAAACATAGCACGGCCGTCCATGTACTACGTGGTGATGGAAGCAATCAGTGTGGGAAGCAAGAGAATAGAGTTTCCCAGAAATGGTGAAGATGGAAACATCTTTATTGACTCAGGGACAACGATCACTTATTTGCCAGATGAGGTTTACTCAAGTTTGGAAGGAGAAATGATAAATGGACGAAATTACACGTGGACAGAAACGTTAAACTCATCAGCACATTTTTAACTGCATTAGTTTTCGAGGATTAAAACCAAAGTTTCGAAAAGAATGATGACTAAATTATACCTTATTTTGAGAGAGGGACTAAAACCACAAACTGTCAATAGCTTAGGGACTAAAAATATATTTAACCCATTAAATATTATTATAACTAACTAAATATGTTTTTTTGAAAAAATAAATTATATTGAATTTTATAAATCATGAAAAATAAGAATCTAAATAAGTAGTATATTTCTGTAATTGTTTTTTAAATAATTCTCTAAATATTAATATTTTTGACAACTTTATTTCCGTGAATTGATTTTAAAAAATCTATCTAAATATAAATTATTAATAATAAATAAAAAAAATACTTACAAAATATTATAAAATCTATATTATCTGTTATTACTAAGTGAATGACTAACATATTTATATTTATTATTTATGGGCATCTGAAAAAATATGTATTATTTTATCAATAGACAGGATTTGTTTTTTGCCATGAATATATGGAATATAAAACAATTTGAATAAATTGTGAAGAAATAATGTGAATGTTACAGATTATAGCAATTGACGTGGATAGAGAAGCATATGAGACTGGATTGCCCTTCATCCAGAAGGCAGGAGTGGAGGACAAAATTGACTTTATCCAAGCAGATGCATTATCCGCCCTGAATGATCTCGTTGAAGTAAGTGTTGTTTTGGCCTTGTTAATCATGTTAATTAAATTATCTGGATATCATAAATGTGAGATTTCTGTTTTTGATGTTTTAAGTTTATTCATTGAGTTTTGAAATAGCACAATCATACTATTTTTTAATTGCACCAAACATATATTTTAACATATTTCACTTGACAAAAAGATTAAAACCGCTTGTTTAATTTTTAGGACCAAATCAGCTCACTAAATTTTGAAGTCACACACTTGTAACATTGAGTAGAGTCAATTGAACAAATTGAAAATTTAAAAAGTTAAAATGAAACAATTAATTCTCAAAATTTAACCATTCAACAACAAATCACTATTAATATGAATTTTAATATAGTGATCATAAAATTTAGGTTAAATTGCTTGTTTTGTTCCAGTTTCGTTGAAGTGTGTCAAGTTTGTCCATCCTTTTAAAAAAGTTGCAATTTCGTCTACACATGGTTTAAAAGTGGGGTGTTGCTCCCTCCACCACCACACCTTTCTCCCTCCACCTCCCCTTTACTATTTTGTCCCTCAGTAAAATTTTATTTAGGGTTATTATTTTTTAATTTTACCCATTCACAACCTATTTCACTAATAACCTATTCTAGTCCCGTACATGAGTAAAATACTTTTCTTTCATTTTAACATTATATTTCTTCCTCTCTTTCTTTCGTCATTGTGAGATACTACAAGTTGCAAAGGTTGGTGGTGGTGGAAAGAATTATCAAGCAGTCTCCCTCTCGTGGTGCAGTGTCGCTCTCTTCGTGCAATGTCGTTCTCGTGGTGCAGTGCGTGGAGTGGTGTAGTGCATGTCGTGCTTCCTCCAAGCGCGTATTTGAATAAACCTTGAAATAAAACCCTAAAATAAAAAACGTAAACGGAGGTGACATCCTTTAGCGGATGTCAACATCCTTCAGCGGATGTCAACATCCTTCAGCGGATGTCAACATCCTTCAGCGGATGTCAACATCCTTCAGCGGATGTCAACATCCTTCAGCGGATGTCAACATCCTTCAGCGGATGTCAACATCCTTCAGCGGATGTCAACATCCTTCAGCGGATGTCAACATCCTTCAGCGGATGTCAACATCCTTCAGCGGATGTCAACATCCTTCAGCGGATGTCAACATCCTTCAACGGATGTCAACATCCGTTTAAGGAAAAACAGATGTCGACATTCGTTTTACCTTAAACGGATGTTGATATCCGTTGAAGATGTCACCTCTATTTAAAGGTTACATTTTTTATTTTAGAGTTTGTTTTATTAGGGAACATCCGTTGATGTATACTTTCTCACGCTGATTGATGCTCTAGACGCTCCTCGATGTTCCTCCACACCATGGCGGCAACGCTCATTCACACCACGGCGGCAATGAAAGCTTTCAAACCAAAAAAAACTGGAAAGAAAAAGGAATGGGAGTGCGGGAGGTGGGGAGGTGAAACGAAAATGGGGAAAGGGGAAGAGAATTCCGTGGGTGGGTGTTGGGAAAGTAAAATTAGGGTTTCAAATGATTTAAAATAGGGTAAAAGTAAAAAAAATTAACTTAAGGATAAAACTGTATTTAAAATATATAATGTGGGGAGGTGGAGGAAGTATAGAGTGGTGGTGGAGGGAGCAACACCCTTAAAAGTGTCAATTGCATCCAAACGTAAAAAAATTTGCCTCAATCAAGTCCCATCCGTTAAATAGACAGAAACGACATTAACTTTTTCTTCTCTCTTCTGCTTTTCTGTGTAATGCAGCTTGTCAGTGTTTGTAACATAAAATAATTACTTTCCAAATAAAACAATTAAACCCTTTTTATTTCAACTAAGCAATTAAACCTCATTACAAAAGAAAAGATAATATTATGTTCACTCCACTTTTTATCAACCTAACTATTACTATTACGTGTAAATATACCTTTCTTTAAATAAAAAACAATGTTTTAATAATATGAAAGGACAAAAACAATATATGTATACTATTGTGTAAAAAAGTATATAACCAAAATATATGTTTTTTTCTTGTTTGACACCCAGTTTCAAAAGAATATTAAATTAATAAAAATATATAATAAAGTTAAATACAAATAGAATTTGTAAAACTCAATAGTATTTAAACAAATTTAATAAATAAAAATAAAATATAGATGAAAAGAGAGAAAACGAGAGCTTATGAAAAAAAAAGTTAATTTTTTTAATGAATTGTTAGTTGGCAGTTTTTTTTTAATATCTATAGTGTGTTTTTTTTACTGTCAACACAAATATTATTATTTATTAAATTTGTTTCAATTTTTGTAAATATTGACTGAATTTTTTTTTAACAACATTAATGATTATGATTGTTTTACTTTTAAATAATTGTATGTATTAGTAACTGAAATATTTCATCATCCGAATAAAATATTTAAATTTGAATTTACTTATCAAATAAATAATGAAAAATATATGATGGGGTAACATCATTAATAGGGATGACAAAAATATCTGTGTCCGCGGATATCCGTGGATAAAATCCACGATAGTTGGTATTTGCAGATATTTACTACCTGCTACGGGTAGTAGGTAGCGGATATTTTAATACCCGCTTATAAATGGGTCGGGTGTGGGTATTATACTATCTATACCCGCGGATATCCGCTACCCGCAAAAATAAAAATAAAAATTAAATTTATATTTTATTAAGTTAAATTTAATCAAAATTAACATTAATTTATATTTTATAAGGTTAAATTTAATTAAAATTAAATTTTAATGTATATTTAATTAAATTTTTATTATATTTTATATATTTTTTGTAATTTTATTTAAATTTTATTTTAATAATTTATAAAAATATATTTTTTTAAATATTTGCAGGTATTCGTGGGTATCTGCGGATTTTAAAATATCCGCGGATATTTTTTAAGCGGGTATCCATGCGGGTAGCGGGTGAATTTGTTTTTGTCGGGTCGGGTTGCGGGTAGGCACTATCCGTGCCCGACCCGACTTGTTACCATCCCTAATCATTATTAATAAGTTTTAATATAATAATATTACTTTTTAACTATAAACTTAATTAACTTAATATATAGAAAGAAAAATTCATTATGATACAAAATTGAACAATACATTGACATATAAATATTCATTGAAATCTGAAAGAGTTATAATATATAGGTTACATGCCCTAATTGTCTTTCAATTGAAAAAATCTATAACCAAAATCACATGAATAAAAAAAATTATAACTGATATAGTAATTTGATATATGATATATTCTCATGGTGAATATTATATATTATAATAAAAATTATATTTAATTTTATATTTGGTTTTTTAGGTAACGTTATTCAAATGAGTTAGAATTCGCGGGCCAATCTGATTCACGGGTCGGATTGAGTTTAAAAAAATGAAATTTTTTAATACATGCCAATTTTCAACTCAATTCACTAAAATTCAATTCACTTTTAGAATCATTTAATCCATTATCCAATATGATAACAAAAACATCAGAAAACCATGAAACATTCCAAACAAAAATACACTCTTTTTTATAAAGATCAAACCAAAACCGCAAGTAGGTACATAATATCCCACAAACATATCAAGTAGAAAAGTTCTACAAAAAATGAAACCTAAAATAGAAAGAGACTAACGGTTAAAATTTTAGCTCAATTTAACAATTAATGAAGTGAGAATCCAATTTTTTCCGAGATGACTCAAATTAGAAGAATATGGTAGCGCTTGACTCTAGGAGAGTGGCTCGACACTACAACCCCCTCAACGCTCGACTGAGTAAAAGTGGCACGCAATGTCTTACGTTAGTGGCCACTGTCTAAGTGGCACCCGACAGTGTTGCAACGACGTTTGACAATGTACCAAAACTCTAAATTCAATTTTTGAGCTTTGATTGAGTAATTTTACACTTCTTAAGTTCATTACTAGTTAATAAACCTCATAACACTTTAAAATTCAAGTTTTTAACTCAAGGGGTGTTAAATTAGTTCAATTCAAAGATATCATAGAGAAAATTGCTAACAACATACAAAACCAAGACTTTTCTTGCTTCTCACAATTCACAGTTGCAATAACACATGTTGAAATCATTTATGTCAACCAATATCATCAACCTTATAATTTCAATTCTCATTCCAATCCTAATATCAAATTACTCAAACCAAAACAAATTCTACATTCAGCAATGCTTATCATATAAAACCCCAAATCCAAGAAACAATACAAACATGTAAGTAAAAAATCCTTCATATCATTTTCAGTACCAACAACCATCAAACATTTCAATTTGATCATCCAATCACAATTTTAAGGTGCAAAATCAACAATCAAAATTACTACGAAGATAATAATTAAAATTAGCTGCCTTCACTTGGTGTGACAACTTTAAAACACCAAATAACGCTAACATCACAGGATGTTCTATCTACACACAGAAACATCACAAAAATGATCTACCATATCATTATGATCTTTGATCAACAAAAACTCACATTGATAATTCTAAGGACACATGCAATCAAAGAAATATTACATGAAAAAGAGAGAAAAATTTGAGAAAAAGGGAAGAAAACCAATTTATCCAAATGGAGAAATTGATTCGATAGATAGGAAGAACTTCCAAAATGATCATTCCTACTTTCTTTGATCTTTATAGAGATGAAAAAACAAAGTGAGAAAACAAAGAGAATCCTTGAAAGAAGATTTAGAGAGATAATAGTTTTATATAAATGAGTTTTAATTATCATAAACTTTTATATAGCTTAAACTTTTTATTATTAAAATATTATAGTGTTTTTTTTTTAAAAAATCACAAAAGTAAATACTAACTTCTATTTACTTGAATTATATTTCCTCAAAAATTCAGAATCCCAAATTAATTTAGATAAGCTTCCAAAATTGAATCGTACACTATTAACATCTCTTAATAAAACAGACAAAAGAAAAGAAAGAAAGTACTTTTAATAAACATATTGATCTACTTATTTAAAACTTAACTCTGATCGATTCATACAGATTTTTATCTCACAAATTCCTCAAAAATATAATCTGACAGCACTACAATAGTAACAATATTATATAAATGGACTTTAGTGGTTTATTTCATGTTTATGAACCCACAAGAAAAAATCATATAACCAGCAAATTTCTTCTACATTTTAGATCTATTTGTTAAATAGATTTTAAGAAAAAAATATTTCTATAATAAAATAACCACCTATTAACATTTTTTTTATATATATTTGAATAAACTTATTTTAAAAATAAAAACAGAAAAAAAACTATTTTGTCCTGGTGTGCTATTTTACAATGATTTTTTTTAAATATAAACAAAAAACAAGCCCTTCTTTAGGATTTAAGGGGTGGAAGTAAAACACAATGGTATACATTTGAGAAACCTGATTATGTGTAAAAAATGAATTTAGATCAATTGTTGTGTAAACTTAACTTAATTTGGAGATAATATATGATTGCGTGATGTACACGAAAAGTTTTATATTGACAACCATTATAATTGAACCTTTTATATATGTGACTATTCAAGATTTTCTTGATACTAAATAGTTCTAAAGTCATTGTTGCATTATAGTGAATTGATATCCTTGTAGACCTTGTGTTTGAATTTATATTTGGAGAATGGAAGGAAAATGAAAATGCAATAAATTGCAGGGAAACCATGGCGAGTCATTTGACTTCGTATTTGTAGATGCTGACAAGGAAAATATGATAAAGTATCATGAGGTGTTGTTAAAATTGGTGAAGAAGGGTGGAACAATTGCATATGACAACACCTTATGGCTTGGTACAGTGGCTATGTCTGAGGATGAGAAATTGGAAGATAAATTCTGGAAACACAGGAAGCCTACTCTAGAATTCAACAGTTACATAGCAAATGATTGTCGCATAGAATCAACTATTGTTTCCATTGGAGACGGTGTAACTCTTTGTCGACGCATCTGACCAGCCATAAATTTCAAATGTATTTTCCTTACTAATAATATTTCCAAAGTTAAAAGTCATGTTATTTTTAACAATGCAACCACCCAGACATTTTGTTGTTGAACCAAAACCTTTGCAACTTTATATTTTATTTCTTTTATATAATAAATTTGCATCCATGTGGTACCTTTATTATATATCCATTTATATTGAAAATTCAAGTGCGAGATGAAAAAGTTGACAAGAATAAAACGCATAAACAAATTGTCTTGGATTAAAGGTGGTGTCAATGTGGGTTGAGTTAGATTTTATATATGTTATGTTTCATTTTAGTGAACCTTCTCCTTCAAAAGATTTATTGATAGTATCAAAGCTAACGTATAGTCTTAGTGGCTGACTCACACAAATACAATATGATACCTGTATAAAAAATCTTACTAACAAAAGATTCAAGCATGTCCTATAAAGATAAACAACGATATACGAAAAGGGATACTTGTGGTTACAAATGTTTTCGCTTGAGAGAGAGTGTACCAATGTGGAAGAGAATCCCTCTTAAGGGGGAGATTATTGAGAATTCAAGTGCGAGTCTAAGTGTCACATTGGTTGAAGATCATATAAGGATGAAAACTCATAAATCTATTACCTTAAGATTTTGGGTTAGAAGTAGTGTCAATCTTTTATCTAAGTTGGGCTTAAGTCTCATATATGTTGTATATATATCTCTATTGAACATTCTCCTTCGAGAGACCCATCAATATACTATCATATAAATAATAATAATAATGATAATGTTAATAATTATTACTTTATTAAAAAATAGTTATTTTTTTTCCTACAAGATAAATTATGTATCAACCCAATTCACACACGTTGACTCACTATGTGTTGAATTGAAACTGAATCAACTAAACCTGACTCACTTTTTGGTAGGTTACGTGGGTTGACCCACTTTAGGATATTTTATTCTTTAAATTTATTTTATTTATTTATTGTAATACAATTAAAATGGGCTTACTTGACTCATTTTGTTATAACAATACAATTAAAGTGTTCACTGATTTCAATATACAATATTATAAAGATAGTAGTTAAAAACTATAGTGTCAACTTATATAATTTGACAAAAAAATAAATTAATTAAACCTTTACCCTATGTTTGGATGAGAGATTTCAACAATTCCAAGAAATTGAAATACATAGAATTTGAATTACTTATAATTAAATTATCTTCATTTCTTAAATAGTTTGTTTGGAGGGAGTAATTAAAATATCATAAATTTCAAATTTCTTATTTGGATAAAGCAATTTAATTTCTATTTTAAGCCAAACTTAAATTCACCCTTGAGTCCGAGTTAAGTTAGTTCGACCTTCGACCCAAGATGACTCGTTTTAACATTGGCCTAGGTCGACTCAACTCAATATTTGACTCGGGTCGAGTCAACTTGGCATTTAACCTAGGTAGAGATTGGGCTCGACCTTTGGTCCGTGTCGATTCAGTTCAACCTTCGGCCTGGGCCAACACGACTCGACCTTCAGTTCGGGCTGACACAACTCGACCTTCAACCTGGGTCGATAAGACTTGACCTTCGACCAGGACTGGCATGACTTGACCTTCAATTGAGTTGGCTCGACTCAAATTTCAACCTAAGGCAACTCGGCTCGACCTTCAACCATGACAAACTCGTCTCACCTTCAACTTGGACCAACTCAGTTCAATTTTCAGTTGAGGCCAACTTAGCTTAACCTTCAACTAGCCAACTCAGCTTGACATTTGATTTAAACTGACTCGACATTAGGCTTAGATTAACTAAGCTTGAACTTCAACCCAGGCTGACTATTAGCTCGATCTTCAGCTAAAATGTAGTTAGTTATTACAAATACGTAGAAAATCAATGATTATATATTCTACGAAATTAAGATGATTGATTCCTGATTATTAGGTGAAAATTTATTATAATCGATTTTTTAAATTAGTATAAATATTATGTGGTATACACGGTACATTGAGCAAATATAGCTTTATATAAATAAGAAATTCAAGAAAGACTCGTGATAAAACAGGATGGGGTATGAGAAAAAGAATGTAATTAAAAAGAGAATTCGTATACTACATCTAATAACTCTAGTATTTTGTTGGAAAGTTAACCCCAAAGGGTCCAAAGAAATATGAGTACCAAAATCAAAATAATTTCTCCTGCAGACACGCTTAATCCTATAAAGAGGACCCCTATCATAATACCTAGATAATGGTTGCTCGTAATACATGATACCAGAAAGTTTAATCCCTAGATCTTCAAATGAAGAAAAAAGTCAAGGTAATCTTTGCATAAAATATACATGGAAGAATAATTAGAAGTTGTCAAGTTCGAAACCTTCATTATTTATTAATAATGTTCTTTTAGCAGAAATTTTGAAGCATAAGTTACTGAGCATAAGTTAATTACGTGAAAATGGTTGCAATGTTGTGACCAATATACCATGAACAATGATGGAACTAGGTTGTTCACTGCAAAAGACAAGGGAAGTACATTTAGATGCAATTAAATGTATACTTGGAAGACACTGCTAATCTTGGTCTTTACTAGAAGAAATGAGAAAGCTTCAAAACTATGCTTGTGATAAAGTATAAGGAAAGAGCATCAGAAGAGGATGTTATTCCATAAGCAGTACTCTTATAGAAGAAAGGTTTAATCGTCCGAGAACCTTAATGGGCATGAATTTTTCGGAAGTGATCAATTTTCAATGTGCAAAACATTACAAGATACATGTCATTCGCATTAGACGACTTGTTATTTGCATTGATTAGAAAACGTGTTATCTGCACGTCTTAGCATTGGACGACTCATACATATTATTTTATTTAAAGTTAAAAATGTTTTTTGTGTTGAGCTGTAATGTTATTATTTTCCTTTAAACCTATACATTACCATAAAACCTTTCAATTATCAGCACAGCATAAAACTTATCTTCGTATCAGAAAAAGCTAAAACCCTTCTAAAATCGCTTCATCATCTTGAAACTTTTCAGCATTGAAACTATAGTTACGCCTCCATTCAAGGTCTTGCCTCCGATGATTGTACTTCATTAATATAGCATCAACTCAATCTTGAAGAGTTTGATTGGGGATGAGCGAAGGCTTGGAGAAATGCGGTATTCAAAGCTTTTTCTATAACTGCAAATGATATATCCAAAACTATAATTTTAGTTTTGGAGGAACAAAAAAGTTCATAAGAAGTATACATTTCATCCTCGGTTCTGGGTTCTGAAGTCATTTTAAACCTAGTGACTATTTCTATTAGGCAGTTAATTCTGATGAACTTAGTATAAAAGTTGATGATAAAAGTTGAACTCTAATCACAACAGCACTATAACCAAATGAGTTATTCTCTTAACTAGTATTATTATTAGATTATTCACATGGCTTTTCAACAAAATAACGTTCATATATAATATCTATTCATAAAAGTAAATAAAGTTGAAGGTTTGATGAATATACGAGTCAAATATATTTTTTATTTTATATTTTGATATATATAATCTGAAATACAATTCTTTATATTATGAAATGTCTGAAATACAATATTCTGTATTATCGATTGTACAATGTAATATAAAAATTATATATTCCAGAATATACTTCTAACCGAATTATATAATGTGGAATGTACTTTCTATTTTGTATTTCGAAATATATAGTCTGAAATACAAAAAGTTGTATTATAAATTATACGTTTCATAATACAAAACTTTATGGTAGGTGTATGTTTAAATTATATAGTTGCAGTTAGAAAGGGACTCTTATCGAAATAGATAGCCTACCAAAAATGGGCCCAAATCTAAAATCCATTATCCTTCTTTCCTTGGTCAAGTGAGCTTTATATATATTTATATTATTTGTCCTGCTTCACTATTTCTCTATTAACCTGTTACTTACAATTCTTTATAACCAGTTAATTACAAATTAAAATTTTATTTTTAATTTTACTTTCAGTTTAAGAAATCAATATAAAACAAACCCCAAAATTAAAATTTCTAATTTAAAAAGAATCAAAATATACCTGGACATTATATTGGAAATACAATCAAATAGGCCAAATATTTCTTTTTTTACTGAATTTTGTTTTCCACAGTTGCAAAAACAAAAGAAAATAAATTTTACTGAGAAAATATAAAGCATAAAAGAGAATGGGGTCAGGGAACGTGGCTGTGGAAGAGTGGAGAAGAAGAGAAACCAGAGCTACTGCTCTATGAGGGTAAATGTTTTGCTGAAGACGTAGATGTAGAAGAAAAAGTTATAATATGTTAAATATAAATTTATATTTTTTAAAATATATTTTAATTAAAAGATAATCATTTTATACTAATTATGAAAATAATATTTGTAAGTAATTATTTAAAAAATTTATAAGCATATTTACCAAGAAAATTTATATTTTGAAATAATGAAGTAAATTAAATTTAATATACCAAAAATATTATTAATTTTAAATTAGAATGAATAATAAAACTTATATGCATATACATATATACTAACAGATATATCTTAGATTTTAATATATAACTTTAAAGTATATATTTAAAAAATATAATTTAAATAACTTTTGAAAAATGATTTTAATAAAATACAATACACAAATGAAGTTATTTCAAATATATAGGGAAAAGATTACTGGCGGAATTAAAAACTAACGACAAAAATTTTAAAACGATGTCAAATAATACGTAAGTTGTGATTAAATTAATTAATTATATTAAAATTATTAATAGTAAGAAAATATTTAAAAATCAAATTCTAAATATTTTTATTAAAATATTTTCTCATAGACATTTAAATTACTTCTCAAAATAATTTAATTTTAACTTTTCAAGAAAATTTAATTAAATTTATATGTAAAACTAATGTAAACTAAAATAATAATAATAATTATTTTACATCAAAATTAATTGACAGATGTTAAACAGGTAACTTAGCTCGATCCGGTTCGGCCCACTACGGGTTAGTCACTTAGTGAGCCAATCCAACTCTGTTTACTTATTAGTGAGTTGAAAATATTCGAATCCAACTCAACCCACCATGGGTTGGTGAGTTAAACGGGTT